GATAGCACAGTTATAACACATGTGTTATATACTTTGATGGCAACTGAGGGGCCTGGCGCGCTCGCCGCAAGCTGCACCACCCGTAGCCAGTATTTACCAAATGCGGCCTTCCACTGGATGTCTAGAGTGACGGCGGGACCGATGAGTACCCCTAAATAGCGGGCGTACTCGGCGATCTGAATGTGTTGCCACTCTGGGACTAGAAATTTGAGCAAGCGCTGAGTGAGAGATTGCACGGCAGGTGAGAGGGCGGCCCACAAGGGCACTACCACTGTCTTATGAATCTGAAGTTCGAGCCCTGCGAGAGTAGCAATGGCCCGAAAAGGGGGAAGGAGGAAAGGGAGGGTCCCAAGGCGAGCGAGGACTAGGCCCAGATCATCTGCGCAGGCACCGAGCTTGTTGGATCCAGGACGAAGGTTTAAACTCTGGACGAGATGACGGATGGGGGCATCAAACGCAAGGGCCCAGATCGATCCTGAAAGAGGACAGCCCTGAAGCACCCCAGAGCCGATTTCGAACATGCACTGAAGCTGGCCACCGACGCGGGCCCACGCCCCTGGAGAATGGTAAAGCGCACGAATGACATTGAGATACCCTGGGGGGACTCCGTGAGCCACCAAAGAAGCAAACAGGAATTCCCACCCTAAGGATGGGAAGGCTGCTTTGATATCGAAACTGACTAAGATGGGAAGGGCATCTAGGGCAGCTGTGGAATGGCCTGCTCTACAGGCTTCAGAATCTAGCGTCAGAACGTGTTGTCCGAAATTACGGCCCTTTGCAAACCCCTGTTGCGTGTCTACCGTTCTCTCTTTGACCATATCCACTCAGCCCATGTTCACGACGTGGGCAATCAGTTTGGCGTCGCAGTTCTGTAGGGAGAGGGGGCGAGTGGCACCTGGAGCTCGAAATACGGCATATTGGTCCTGGGGCTCATCACCTTTTGGAAGAAACGCGAAGACGGAATCGTTGAACTGAAACGGAGCCAGGCCCGTTTCGAACATCTGCATCATGAGGTCATATAAGATCTGAGAGGAGCCTGGAGAGGTAGCCCATGCAGCATAAGGTATCTGGTCAGGGCCTGGGGCAGTGTGACGTACCTTACGTAGGGCTCTCTGAAAGTCCTGAAGAGCTGGAACCCGCAGGTCCGCGCAATCGAAGACGGGGAGGTGCTGGGCCAAGTACGACTGGACCGCGTTGGGGTCCACGGTCTTGCTCGAGAAGATGGGCTGCCAGAACTTCTGAAGACCTCCGAAAATGCCCTCGGGTGAGCTGGTGGTGGGGAGGGCATTGGTGGGTGTCCCCTCCTTTGGTATCCTAAGTCCTGAAAGTACGAGGCGACGACGAAATGGGTTCCAGGCCTGCGCCCGGCGCATGAGCTGCATCGCGGCCTTGCGGCTGCCGGCCTGGTCCATCTGCATCTCGGCGTGGGACTGCAGCTGGCGCTTCGTGGCGATGGCGACGCGTCTGTCGTAGTCTGCGGTAACAGCTGCATCCATAAGCTTGATGTACCCGTCTCTGCTGATGAGCTCGGGCCCGTTGTCGGTAAGGCGAAGGTGAGCGGCGCCAATGTCCGTCGTGGCCATGAGGAGTGCTCCGAGCAATGGCACGTAGTGAAGTCAGTCTCCCATGCTTCGCCCAGCGGCTTTGATCATGTAGGGTGGCTCGCTGTTGAAGATTACGAGTGAGGCGAGCCGCTTCTTTGATGATGAGCTTGCGTTGCTTCCAGGCTCCAGTTGGCGTGAGAGCTGCCGAGGCGATGTTGTCCTCCAGGAAGTTGAAGTGGCGCTGGTACGTGGGGCCGTGGAAGATGAGCGGATCAATGGCCTGTTCCTCCTTCTGCGCCGCCGATGCGTTGACCAGCAGCAGGTGCAGGATCGCGTGGTCACTGAGGCCTTTATCTGATAAGGCAGCGCCGTCTTTGTGGATCTTGAGGTGAGCGTCAACGTTCATGAGATCGATGCCCGACAGCGACACGAAGATGCGGTCTATGGCAGTAGCCGCTTGCGTGTTGGCCGAGAAGTGCGTGGGCAGGTCGTGCGTAACTTCCGTGAGCGAGGCGAACAATTGGCGCCAACGCGCTTGTTCGCGCTGATACTGTCCATCAGGTGCCATCGGTCGCCAACGTGCTGATGGATCCTTGAAGTTAAAGGAGGGGGCCGCGCTGGTGATGAAATCGCCCATGGCAATGAATAGCCGCTGTTGAGGGTTCTGCGCTGCCCACTGTCGGGAAGCATGCCGCGCTTCCGTCGCTCTATCCATATCCGTTGCCTGCAGGTCGTGATTGTGCACATTCATGATGAGCGTTTCGAAGCCCGTGGTGTGGTTGGCCACATGGAGGACAGCAACCCTCCCGCGAATCACTGGCCAAAGTGAGGTAGAGGTCGTCGTCATCGATGGCGTCGGCACTAAGAAGGCGATGCCGCCCTTGCCGCGGTTGCGAGGGAAGCCGCTGAAGAAGACCTGATAGTCGTGGGGAAGTTTGCCAAGGTGTGATTCGAGATCGAGCTGTGTGCTGTGCACCTCTTGGAGGGCGATGAGCGACTGCTTGCGCATGAAGGGAACGAGCTGCCGTATCTTTCCCCAGCGTTTGGCATCATCATGACAGAGTAGCCCGCGAGCGTTCCAACAGGTGTAGCTGCCTGCCGTATCTGCTGTAGAAGGTCGTGTACGTGTACGAGTAGTCCGAGGCCGACGGTTGTTGAATGATGAGCTGGTGTCCGATGAGGATGAAGAGGCGCTGGTAGAGGACGATGACGAAGAGGCCGAAGATGAGCTGAAAGCTGAAACCGAACCATTCTGAGTCAAATCTATTTTGAGAATGTGATCTTGTTCGGGAGACAGTAGAGCTTGCGCGGGATGAGGCAGATCATGTTGCGGAAGAAGCGAATCTGGTGGGCACTCCAGGCCCGAGAAATCTGAAATAACATCTGGAGGGCTCTCCCGTCCCTTGGGGGCAACAGGGGCGTCCAAATCCCTGTGTGCCTGTCGTCGCGGTGCAGGTAGATCTGCTGGTGCTCTATGATGCTGAAGATCTGGTCTGGGTTCCCGTGGAGCACATTCAGGATGAAGAGGAGCTTGCGCGGCTTCAGAGCAAGGAAGCTGGAGGCCAGGTGCTGGCCGAATGTGCCGTAGAGGATGAGGCCGACGTTCTCGCGGTGCATCAGGCCCAGGAGGTCCGGCATGGTCTCCGTCTGTGGTCGTAGTTCTCCATGGAGACCAGCGTTTGTTAAAGCCATTGTACTGTGTCCTCTGCTTTGTAGAGAGCGGCAAATTCTGCAGCGATGGTGGCTTTGTTGATAGGAACCTTGGCCAGCGCATCTTGATTCCAACGAATGGCCGTTGCCGCGTCCATGCAAGTGAGCTCCAGTTTGGCTGTGGGGATGGTATTGCAGAAAATACGTCCTTGATCGCGACGCGCACGCCAATTGTGCGTGGGGTAGTGTGTCTGACAAAGAGCGAGTAGCTTTTTAGTTTGAGTTTCCATTCTGATGCGCTTGATGTTCTTATCGGGGTTGACGTAGAGCGGGACGTACTGGCCGTGATTGATGACGCAGTTGGTGGGGGTCTGAACTGTGAACTTTCTGTAACCTCCGCGTCCTGGAAGCTGTAGGGCACGAGCGAGCGCAACGGATTTGGGAATGGCGACAGATCGGCCGCCCAGAAGCTGAAGTATGAAGCGCCGATTGGGTCCTTCACCGTGAATCTGAAACTGCTGCGGGGCCACTTCTGCTGCATCCAACCATTCTGAGATGGACGTGCGAACTGCGGCAGCGTCGACAGGCTGCGCGGAGGAGAGAACGTAGATGGTGGGATCGGGCTCGCGATCCCAGTCTGAGAGCTTGGCCATGTCCAGGATGGGAGCGTCGGCTTCGCCCAGGCTGAGCTGCTGATTGATACGCTGGATGGCACTCCAGACTTCCTGATGTTGTGATTCTTGTTTGGCTTGAGCAAATTGATGGCCATGAGGTCTTGTTCTTGCCCGTCCAATCTGCGAGTAGTAGCTGCTTCGTGTCGCTGTAGAGCGGCAATGAACTGCGTTTGCGAGGCGGATACGGTTTCTCCCACTGCGGTATTGATTGCTGCCACTTGTGATGCCATGATCTGCTTGAGCTCGCGCTGGATGTCTGGGTCCAACGTTGATTGAGGCCACGGTCCGCCTGCTGGCGTGGCGGTGCCTTCAGCTGCATTGGCTGGTGCTGCAGCTGATGCCGTGTGTCCAGAGCTGGCTGCGGCGGTAGAGAGCGCTGCTGTAATAGGAGAGCGCTGCTGAGCTGCGTGAGCCGCGTGTTGAGCAAGCCATTGTTGTTGAGAGGTTTCAGCTGCGGCGGGAGGCTGTGCGGCTTCGTGGGCGTCGCGTGCGGCTTGAGCCTCTTGGTGTTCACATGCTTGTCGTTCTCGCTGTGCGTGTTGATGAGCTTGCCAGTGAGCTTGTTCTTGAGAGGGGAAAGTAGGTGCTGCATCAAGTTCTTCCAGTGCTGCTCGCTGCCATGCATCTTGAGTGGCTGCTGAATGAAATCCACGAGGGCCTTTAGAGCGTCCACTGTGTCCTTTGTGCGGAGGGCGTGAAACTTCAGACGAAGAAGTACGTTGGCGTCGATCCCTATCACGTCGGCGGTGTCGATCACGGTCACGGTCTCTGTCCCTGTCGTACCTTTCTGAATGTCTGCGGCGATCCCGACGGTGTCCACTGGCCTGACTTCTGCTCTTGGAGTCACTGCGAGATGAAGCGGAGGCGGAGTCCATACGGAAGTGTTGTACTGAACTATGCCACGAATTGCCTGTCCGATGCCAAGCGAGAGAAGAGCCAATCCAGATACCTGCAATTGAATTAGTCGAATTAGTAATTGTGCGAAGGTGAGCTTCGTCTTGCGGATATGGAGCGGAGCCGTGGGCTGGGCAGCCCTGACGGTCCTGTGGGATATGGAATGGAACAGAGCTGAACGGCCAGCTGCCTTGGGAAATGTTTTACTTGAGCCAAAATGGCTACGGAGGAGGAGGAGCAGGAGCAGGAGGAGGAGGCGGAGGAACAGGAGGAGAATGAGGAGGAGGAGGGAGGAAGAGGAGGGAGGAGGAGGAGGACGGGTCGCCAAAGCCCTTCGGAGAAACCCTCAAGCATACACGAGTTGCTGCACGCATGGCCCTCATGCCCGACACTGATTCCGCATGCCCCAGCCATGCAGCACAGAGGCGGATCTCCGACGGGACGGTCGGGAACGTGCGTCCAAGACCCCCTCGAGTCATGACAAAAATCACGACGGCAAGTTTCTCGCTATCTTGGGCCGTCGGGAGCCCTCGCCGAACCTCGGGACCGTCAAATAATGACTCGGGATGAAAAACCGGTCCAGGCGACGCATGGGTCGAGAACTCCAGAGACGACGTTATGAACAAATCGTGACGTTGGGTGTCTGGGACGTGCGTGGTTGCGTGGTGACCGGCCCTACACGGGGGTGCCCCTGGCCCAAGGAGTCTCCAGCTTTGCGCTCCATCCTGGCGCCCCTGGGGCCCTCTGGGCCTCGCGAGGGGTGCTCTGGAGGGCGTGGGGGCTTCCTCGGAGATCCCGGGGAGCACATTGGGCCAGGGGTACTTCTGGCAACATCCGACCTGCGGTTTGGACCATTTGCCTCGCGTGTCTCCACGGCGGCCCCGCCGACACGCTATGCCCTGCAAGCGGGGGCTCCGAGAAGCTCGGGCCGTTGGCGCTGGGGGGGCTGGGACGTGGACGGCGCCGTCACACCGAAGCGTGGTGGTTGGCCAGAACCGGCGCGGCGGCACGCCAAGCCACAACGCCGACCAGCAGCCCCAAACACGTGACTGCCCCTGCCAGGCGCACATTGGCAGCCTCCTGCCGCCACGTGGCGAAGTCTGAGCCACGTCCACGTCGCAGAGAACGGGGGGGGGGGAGAGCTGGAAGGGGGAACGCCCCTCCTGCACAGAAGCCTTCCCCCAGCTCGTGGCCGCCGCGACCGCGCGGCGACCTCCAGCGTGGGCCCTGGGCCGCATGGCGCGCCGCGAGCCTGCTTGGAGTGCCGTGGCGGCGGCCCAGGGCGACATGTCCCTCTGCGCTCAACGGGGCGGCACGTCTGGGGGCCTCCTGGAGATGGGGTCGGAGCAGCCGAGGTCGGAGGACCGCGCCGCATCGCCGAGACATCGGCGATGCATCGGCGATGCATCGGTGAGGCGCCGGCGCGTGCTCGGCCCCCGGGGGCCATCGACACGGACCCGGGACGAAGAGCTGTGCCCCGGGGAAGCGGGCGGGAGCTCTGGCGAGGGGCAGCGATAGGGCTATGGATGCCATGGCAATGAACACTCGAACAGTCCTATCATTGAATTAAAGATCTGTTTTAAAAGTGTGAAGCATGCTCTAAGCATGTTTCAGACATGCTTTTTGCTTCAACATGCTTAAACAATATTTGAGGCATGTTTTACACATCTGGAAATTACTTGGCGGCATGCTTCCTCTCCACTAATCGACTTCCACAACGATAGGGGGGGACTGGGCACCAGGGGGGAAAGCATCGACCAGGAATCGGCGGCACGTCGCCGACAGATCGGCGGTGGGCCCCCGACAGCCAGTGCGAACGTTCCATAGGGCGGGGCGGGGCTACCAGACCCCTGTCGGCGGTCGATGGGCGATTGCGGATCGATGCTTCCCGCCCCACAGTCGGACTTGATTGGAGAGGACACGCGAGAGGACAGAAGACCCTTCCGAGGGCCGCATTGCCACAGGAATGCAGGAGGCACGGGTCGCGAGACACAGGACACAAGGGTACCCTTGATGTGGCAGGGTCGACCTACTACTCCGGCCGACTGTATGCCTCATCATCCCCCCCTGTCGACTCCCCAGATCTGGGGTCGCAGCTGGGCTCAAAAAACCCCTCGGGGGATGGCTTCGGGAGCGGCAAAGAGGGGGGTGTCCAAGAGGGGGGGGTGCAAATCATGACTGGCGGCATGTGCGCGGCCCAGCGGGGGGGCCAGGGACGTAATGAAATAAGAAGAGGCGCCGTGAAATCTGGGGAAATATCATGGCCCACGCCATGATATCCACCCCCCCTAGTCATCACCCCCCTCTTTTCCGCCCCCGATGGCTGGGAGGTGGGCCCGAGCAGGCGGGGCTGGAGCATCGAGCCGCCTCGCCGACGCACCGGCGCCGCCGGCGTGGAGAAGCTCAGGCTGCGCATGGAGCTGCCTCGCCGATGCGCCGGCGAGGCGGCGAGGCCCTCCGACTCGGAGGGCCGCGCCGCAGCGCCGATCCTCCGAGCGCCGAGCCCAGCTGGGCTCGAAGGCTCCGAGCCCCAGCTGCTCGGACTCCATATTGGGAGCCCGGCGCCGTCGCTGCCGCCGGGGGCTGTGGCGTCGGGGTTCCCTGCCCCGCGGGCGGAGACGAAGACGTTGGCAGCGGAGACGAGGCCGGTGGCGACGGCCTGGATCTCATCCACGGAGAGCACCTCGGCCACCTGCTCCCGTCCTCCCCGCCCCCCCCCCCCCCTGCCTCCCTCCCTCCCTCCCGCCGTCCCTCCTCCCTCCCCTTCTCTGCGATCAGGGGCGGTGGGCCCGGCGAGCGAAGGCCCCTCGCTGCACCACCAGAGCGCTGCACCCGAAAACGTCGCCGGCAACACTTCCCAGCGCCCGCCCCGAGGCCAGCACTTAGGGGTCCCAAAACCGTGTGGTGACAGACCCGGCGGTGACCTCGAAATCCCCAAAGACATCACCGCAGGGTCTGTCACCGCACGGTCTTGGGACCCTGGAGGCCCCAGTCGCCCGAGACATCCTCGGAGCACGACCCGAGTCCCAAAACCGTGCGGTGACCCCGAATCCACCCCGATTCACCACACGGTGTGGTCACCAACACGTTTGGGGCCCCCCGAAGCATCCCAGACAGGAGAAGCACCCCGAGAGTTCTTCCGGAGCGCCTTCCAAGGCTCCCCCCTATGGAGGCCGCCGCCGCCGCCGCCAGTCGTCGTTGTCGGCGGCGACGACGTCGTCGACGTCGTCGACGTCGTCGTCGACATCGTCGCCGCCGTCGTTGACGCTGTCGTCGTCGATGCCGTCGCTGCCGTCGCTGCCAGCGTCGTCGGCGTCGTCGTCGTCACCGTCGTCATCGCCGTCGTCATCATCGTCGTCATCGTCGTCGTCGCCGCCGCCGCCGTCGTTGCCTTCGCAGCCAAAGCGGACGTCGTCGCTGTCCTCCTCCCCCTCCTCGTCCTCATCCTCGTCCTCCTCCTCGTCCTCCACCTTCTCGCCCTCCTCCATCCGTTTTCCTTACAGATAGCTTCACCAGTCGCACCCCGAGACGTGTCGGTAAGGAGGGCCAGGCGTTTCGCATGAGATTCTCTTACCATTCGAAATCGATTACTTTTAAGATTGCAAGGGTTTCACGGATGGAGATCGGGCCGTTTTCAAAATGTGGCTCTCGCCGTAGCCCTGCGCAAGTTAGTCTTGAAAGTTGGCAAGAGATTCGCGGATGGAGGGCGGTGCCTTTTCAAAGTGTGCGCCGCGAGCATTCGCCTTTGAATGTTTCAGCCGTTGATTCAAGATTTCTGATGGCTGACGTCCCAGAAATGGCTTTTAGGGCGATGTAGGACTGCAGGGCGAAGCGATTACGTTGACTTACAAAGTTGAAATCCCAGGGACAGCCTTCTGGTACGATTCAGGATCGTCGCGACGCAGCAGTCACGTTGATTCGCGGCGTTGATGTCCCAGGAAAGCTGTTCCGGCACAGTTCAGGAATTTCATACGGCTGTCTTCCAAAGGGCCACTTCGCTCAATGGGAATGAATCCTTGCAGGGACCTCTGAATAAGGAACTTGGAGAAATGGTTTACTACAGCATCGTTGATGGGTCTTGGGCTTGCATTTGTCCTCATCCGCCTCCTCCGCCTCCTCCTCCTGCTCCTCCTCCTCCTCCTCCTTCTCCTCCGTCTTTTCCTCCCAAAACATCACCCAAGCCGTTCAAAGCGTGGAACCCCAGACCTCTCGACCCCAACCCGGGGACTAGCGTATTTCATCCTGGCCCACCTTTTGACGGCCTCTGGCCGTGCAAAAACCTTGCGGAAACCGACGATAAGCTCAAACCTTCCATCGTGACTGCTGTTCTCGCAGCGGGAGGGTGGTCCCTCTCCCTCCAGCCAGGCCACCACGGCTTCGCCGATGTCGGCTGGGGCGGCGCCCAGCGCGGACGCCGCACTGGGGGCGCGGATGACGGCGTGGACGGCCACGGAGCCCGCCGAGAGCTCCACGACGACATGCTCCTGCTAGAGGCCAGGGGCCCATTGAACTTCGAGGACCGAACCTCGAGGATCGAGCCTCCTCCTCCTGCTTCCTCTGCCTTCTCCTCCCCAATCGGTTACTGAGTCGGCCACACGCTAGAGTTGCCCTAGGCTAGAGTGACCCTTGGTGCGCGGCTTTCGAAGGGGCTCGGGGAGGCCAGACCCACGCGTGCAAGCTGCTGCAATCGCATCGCACGCAGCGATCGAGGGACTCCAATGGGCCCGCACCAACGGTCAATCTGGCGGAGGGCCCCACCAGCGCGCAGACGAAGGAGGAAGGCCTCGAAGTCCTGGGTGACACCAAGGCCCACCACTGAGACGAGTGCTTCCCTGACCGCGGCCGTCACCGCGCCCAGCAGCGAAGGCCGCGCCTCTGGTGGCACCGCACAAGAGAGACGCGGCAGCGGCCATGGGCGGCCCTCGGCCCTTCGGCAGCCCCTCGACGCCCCTCTGCAGCCCCTTGGCAGCCCTCGGTGGCCCTCGGACACCTTCCTAGGCCCTCGGCGGCATGCTGTGTTTTCCCGGCCCCCATGCGCGGTTGGATCCCCCTGTGAAGGCCACAACGTCGCGCGTCCGGCCTTTCATCCTCGTTCCCCTCCTCCATCCCCAATCCCCCTCCCCTTCTCCATCCTTTTCCTCCTTGTCGCACCCCGAGATGAGTCGGTAGGGCGGGCCGGGCGTTTCCCCTGAGACGTCCTCACCACATATGACCCTGTATCTGAAAATGTGCAACAGACTCACGGATAAATGGCGATTCGTTTTGAAAATGTGGCTCCCGCCTTAGCGCCGCGCGCATTCTTCTTCACATATTCCAGGAGCTTCACGAATGCAGAGCGGGCGGTTTTCAACATGGGGCCCTCGCTTAGGCGCTGGGCGCATTCGCCCTGAAAGATTGCAAGATATTCACGGATGGGTGACGGCACTTTTTCAAAATTCTGATCATTGCCTTAGCGCCGAGCACTATCGGCTTAACAAATGTGTGAGCTTTACGGATGGAGGGGATGCCGTTTTCGAAGTCTTCTCGCCTGGGCGCTGCGCACATTCGTCCTCAGATGTTGCAGCAAATTTGCGGAATGCTGACGGTACCTTTTCAAACTGTGGCTCTCGCCTTAGCGCCGCGCAAATATGTGCTACAAGTTCGCAAGAGTATCACGGAAAGATGGCGGTACCATTAAAAATGTGGGTCTCGCCCTCAGCGCCGCGCAAGTTTGCTTTTATCGGAGGTTGAGGGGTGAGATCGCAGCGGAACGGAGACCCCCAACCGGGAAATCGTTTTGTTTTGTTCGTGTCATGCGTGCGGGCGAGGCGAAGCTGCGTGGGCGCGGGCGAAGTCAAGACAAATGATTATCCTCAGGCTCCGTCCGTGCGTCCGGCGGTGGCCCGCGGTGTCCAGCGGTGTCCCGGCTTCTACTCGCCTTCCAGGCCTGGGTGTCCGTTTTCTTTGCCTTCCAAGCCTGGATGTCCCGCGGTGTCCCGGCCTTTTTCGCCTTCCATGCTTGGGTATCCTGTGGTATCCCGCCGTGGTGTCCCGCCGTGGTGTCCCGTCGATGTCCCGTCGGTGTCCCGTCGGTGTCCCGTCGGTGTCCCGTGGTGTCCCGTGGTGTCCCGTCCTATGTGTCCCGTGGTGTCCCGTGCTATGCTATGCTCGATCTCACTATGGATGTCACAGTCGATCTCTCTACCTATACGACCACCCACATCGATAGTGAAATCGATAGTGAGATCGATACTGAAATCGATGTGATGCCCCGAGGTGTCCCGTGGTGTCCCGTGGTGTCCTAAGAAGTGAGATCGATAGTGAGATCGACAGCGAGATCGACAGGTGTCCCGTGGTGTCCCGTTGAGTGAGATCGCTAGTGAGATCGATAGCGAGATCGATACTGAGATGGATGTGGTGCCCCGAGGTGTCCCGTGGCGTCCTATGGTGTCCCGTTGAGTGAGGTCGACAGTGAGCTCGATAGTGAGATCGAGGGGTGTCCAGCGGTGTCCCGTGGTGTCCCGTTGAGTGAGAACGATAGTGACATCGACAAGTGTCCCGTGGTGTCCCGTGGTGTCCCGTTGAGTGGGATCGATAATGAGATCGATTGAGTCAGATGTTGGTTCCCCCCACAACCTCCTTATCACCCGAAGGGTGATCGTATAGGTATGCGGACGTCCCAGAAATTGTGTTTTGGCACGATGTAGGGCCGCCAGGGAGAAGCGGTTACGTTGATTCGCAATGCTGCAGTCCCAGAAATGGTGCTCTGGCACGATTCAGGGTCGCCAAGAAGCAACAATCGCTTTGATTCGCGGCGTTGAAGTCCCAAGAATGGTGTTCCGGTACGGTTCTTGTTTTTCAAGCGATTGTCTTCCAATGGGGCACTTCCTTCAGTGAAGATGAATCCTCGTAGATACTCATGAAAACGGAGAACTGGAGGAAGGGCTTATTGTAATATCGTTGATGGAACTTGTGTTTGCACTGGTCCTCCTTCTCCTCCTCCTCCTCCTCCTCCTCCTCCTCCTCCTCCTCCTCCTCTTAACCGCCCTCGTCGTCCTCCTCCCTCCTCATCCCCATCCCCTCTTTGCCGCCGCCAAATCCAACACACCCCTCACTCGTGACGCGCTGCGATGGAGCTCCACCTAGGGCCCCAGTGGATGCGTTCGCGCGGCGGAGGCAAGGGAGCTACACCTACCGCCCTAGCGGGTGCGTTTGCTAGCGCTGCCTCGCCCCAAGACGGCGCACCCCTCGAGCAATTCGTACCCCACGGGCGCTCCACCCACGGCCCCAGTGGGTGCGTTCGCACGGCGTTGCCCTGGACAGCTCGACGCACCTCCTGTGCGCTTCCTGCCCGGTGCGGAGCTTCACCTGCGGCCCCAGACGTGGAGCCCAGCTGCCGGGCATCACACTTTTGGATTTCCGGCCGCTTCGGCCCAAGATGGCCTCACGAGGGCGTCGGGGAAAGCACCAGGAGTGACCACCAGAAGGACCGCCGCTGGCCCACGGCAGCCCTACAGAGCCAAGCACAAACACAGACCGTCGGAGGTGAGAGCGCGGATCTCTTGGATCGGCACTGGGCTCCCCTCCCTAGCGCGCGGAGCGCGCAAGGGGGCTGCGCCAGAGGCGCCGCCGGCGCCGATCCAAGAAATGCGCGCAGACCTCCGAAGGTTATGTTTGTGCGTATGCTGCTCTTTCTCCTTCAGAGCACTCAAGACGGCCCAGGTAAAGAGCCCCAAGGCGACCCGAGAACCACCCAGGACGGCCCGAGGAGGACGCCAAGACCGCCCCAAGGGACCGACCAGTCCACCCGACGGTAGTGCTACCGAGCTTGTTTGGGAGAGCTCGGTAAATGACCATCGCGCGCCCGATGGCCCGCCCCACAGGCAGGACCTCCAGGAGATTCCAGGAGGCCCTAGACCCTGAGATCCAAGTGTAGAATCTGATTCGCACGAAGCAGTTTCGCCTGCTCCAGGCCCCGGGATCATAAGGGACAAATCAGATCCGAAAGCTGCAGCAGAAAGATGGACGCTAGGGTTCTGGTTGTCATTTTTCGACATGCTGTATTGTTCCGCAACGTCAGATCGGAAGGGGTAGGGTCTCAAGAACCCCCACGAGGCATGTGAGAAGACTACAGGAGGCAACGCAACAACTTAACAACCATGCAGTCTTACGTTGTCTTTTGTCAGCGACGACGGCGAGCGCCAGCGCGGTCGAAAACCCGGCGGGCCATGCCAGGCCAGGGCACACTTTGAAGGTGCCCTGGGGACACACAAATAAATACACACAAATAATAGGAACCCATATATGTTTCACATACTTTCGGGTTTTCTGTCTTCCCTCCACTTCTCAAATGTTCGTATACTTTCTTTGGACTCGACGATTCATTGTGTCTGTATGTCTTTTTCCCCTCGTGACACTTGACGAGAGGAAAAGAAGAGGACAGCCGCGGAGGGGGAACGCGGGGAAAGGCCTCAGGCGCAGTGAGCCTACACCACGAGGAGCGCGCAAGCGGCATCGGGCACCGAAACCTGGCGCACTGGAGAACGAACGGTCAGAACTGGTGTTCAAAAAAAGACGCCCAACCCATACTACGGTGAGGGCACTGGATCAGGAACCCTTGGATACGGAATCCTCCGAACGCTGGTGAAAACACTAAGTGACGCTTCACCATGCATGGTCGATCGGAAGGTCTCCTCCAGGGTGTGCGGCCTCCCGGCGGGCTCTGAGCAGCCTGGACCAAAAAGTGCTGCCCTCTGGGGCAGCAGGATTCTACGGGCCCGCTTCCGTCGGCCTCGGGCCAGCCTCCGCCCGTGGAGGCGGCCTCGTTTTACTCCCGCGGGCCTCCGCAGTCCTTCCGCCGCCTTCCACCGAGGAAGAGATGACGACCCCTCGACCTTCGAAGGCGAGGCCCTCTCTCCGGAACTCCCCTCCTGGGGGCACACTTCCTGACGAACGCCCCCACCGTAGAACATTGCATCGCGGCTTCGGGTGAACCACAAGATACTGATGCCGCTACTCCCGGGACCTCTCCCGGGGTCTTTTTGACAAGGATTTCGAGGCGAATCCAGCGGTGGCGACGAGAGCCTCCCAAGAGGCCCAAAAAGGGGAAAACGAGGGAAGGGTAGCGATATGGATACCTTCTCCTCCTTCGAGCTCTGGGTTCACCCGAGCCCTTTCGGGAGGAAGCTCAGCAGCCATCCCTGCTGCACTGCATGCCGCTGGTGCGCTGGCACGCTGGCGGGGCTCGGCAGAGCGGCCGCCGTGGCAGCCGGTGAGCTCTCGAAGAGAGGGCCGATGGAGGCCAGCGAAGGCCTGCCTGGAGACCCACGCGTCCCGTCGAGGGGAGGTGGCCTCGCGGACGCCGCTGTCGCCCCAGGTTGCCTCGGTGGTTCCAAGATGGGGTCCTAAGGGAGGGGGGCCTAAGGATAGGAAGGGATACAACTATTGATCTGCGCTGTGCGGGCACCTCGTCCTCCGAGACCCCCACCCCTCCAGGCCCCACCTCTGAACCATAGGAGTACGCCTTGGGGCTGGGGCCATACGGGGACGACGACTCAGAGTGCGCTGTGGGGGGGGGGGCCCGGCAACGCATCCGAGGGAGGGCGAATCGTCGACTGGTGCATCGGCTTCGCCGTAGTTGCGATCGGGTTGCCCGTCATGTGATCTTCAGGAAGGTTGAAAACCATACTGGGGTGATTCTGAACGAGCGCGCTGATCAGCTGGCCGTTGTGGCGCCAGTGGAATCGTATGTGGCTTTGCGGATGCACATCGTTGGGGGTAATCATCGAGTTAATAGTTGGACTTGAGGGCAAGTGACCCCGTTCAGTTTCATTACATGTATTCATTAATGGACCCGGACTTCCCAGAATGCTTACACCGAGCATCGCCGACGCCAAAAATTGAGATCCTCCTCATCGACGATCTGACATCACTGCCGCGGTATGGTTTGAGCGCCGCATTTGTTCCCCTGTACCTGAATCGTGGTGTATTCGACGTTCAAGATGGTCAGCGTGACGATCAGTTCGTCCCACCCTCCCGAACTGGTGGTAGCTGTTGTTGAGCTGATGCTAGACGCGATCGTAATGTAGCTGGTGCTCTCCGTCGCACTGCTACTGGTTCCGGACTTGCTGGTACTGGTTGTGCTGCTCTCACTTGTGCTGCTGGTCCCACTCGCGGAGGTCAAAGTTGAGCTGCTGCTCTCCGTCCTGCTGCTACGTGTGCCTGTCGTGGTCAAACTAGTCGTGCTGCTGACTCCACTCGCAGACGACAGAGTGGAGCTGCTGCTCTCCGTCGTACTGCTACGTGTACCTGTCGTGCGGGTCACCGTCATGCTGCTGGTCCCACTCGCAGAAGACAGAGTTGAGCTGCTGCTTTCTGTCGAACTGCTGCTGGATACGGTGGTACTGCTGGTCCCACTCGTGGAACTCAAGGTGGAGCTGCTGCTCTCCGTCGTACTGCTGCTGGATATGGTCGTGACGCTATGGCTGGTGCTGGTGGTCCCACTCGCGGAGGTCAAGGTGGAGCTGCTGCTGTCCGTCGTACTGCTTCTTGTACCTGTCGTCAGGGTCCTCGTCGTGCTGCTGGTCCCACTCGCGGAGCTCAAGGTGGAGCTGCTGCTCGGCGTCGTACTGCTTATGGTTCCTGTCGTGCCTGTCCCCGACGTGCTGCTCTGACTCGAGCTGCTGGTCCCACTCGTGGAGCTCAAAGTGGAGCTGCTGCTCTCCGTCGAACTGCTGCTGGATACGGTCGTGCTGCTGGTCCCACTCGCGGAGGTCACAGTGGAGCTGCTGCTCTCTGTCGTACTTGTGCTGGTGCCCGTCCTGCTGCTATGGCTGGTGCTAGAAGTCCCGCTCGCGGAGGTCAAGGTGGAGCTGCTGCTCCCCGTCGTACTGCTCTGACTCGCGCTGCTGGTCCCACTCGCGGAGCTCAAGGTTGAGCTGCTGCTCTCTGTCGTACTGCTGCTGGTGCCCGTCGTGCTGCTATCGCTGGTGCTAGAAGTCCCACTTGCGGAGGTCAAGGTGGAGCCGCTGCTCCCCGTCGTGCTGCTCTGACTCGCGCTGCTGGTCCCACTCGTGGAGCTCAAGGTGGAGCTGCTGCTCTCCGTCGTACTGCTGCTGCTGCTGCTCTCACTCGTGCTGCTGGAACCGCTCGCGGAGGTCAAGGTGGAGCTGCTGCTCTCCGTCGTGCTGCTGCTGCTGCTCTCGGTCGTGCTGCTGGTCCCACTCGCGGAGCTCAAGGCGGAGCTGCTGCTCTCCGTCGTACTGCTTATGGTCCCTGTCGTGCCTGTCCCCGTCGTGCTGCTCTGACTCGCGCTGCTGGTCTCACTCGTGGAGCTCAAAGTGGAGCTGCTGCTCTCCGTCGAACTGCTGCTGGATACGGTCGTGCTGCTGGTCCCACTCGCGGAGGTCACAGTGGAGCTGCTGCTCTCCGTCGTACTTGTGCTGGTGCCCGTCGTGCTGCTATGGCTGGTGCTAGAAGTCCCACTTGCGGAGGTCAAGGTGGAGCTGCTGCTCCCCGTCGTACTGCTCTGACTCGCGCTGCTGGTCCCACTCGCGGAGCTCAAGGTGGAGCTGCTGCTCTCCGTCGTACTGCTGCTGCTGCTCTCACTCGTGCTGCTGGTCCCGCTCGTGGAGCTCAAGGTGGAGCTGCTGCTCTCCGTCGTGCTGCTGCTGCTGCTCTCGGTCGCGCTGCTGGTCCCACTCGCGGAGCTCAAGGTGGAGCTGCTGCTCTCCGTCGTACTGCTTATGGTCCCTGTCGTGCCTGTCCCCGTCGTGCTGCTCTGACTCGCGCTGCTGGTCCCACTCGTGGACTTGCTGCTCTCTGTCGAACTGCTTCTGGTAGCCGAAGTGCTAGTACGTGTCAGAGTGCTGGTACTTGTCAGAGAGCTGGATGTTGTTCTCGTCGCTGTCCAACTTGTGGCAGTCTCAGTCGATGTACCAGTGGTGGCCGTGATTGACATGCTGCTGAAAGTCATGGTAGATGTTGCTGTGGTTGTGCTGCAGGTGCATGGGCAGAACTCCTCCACCCCCGGGGCGGCACACGGATTCTCCAGGCAAAAAAAATAGGCCAGCCCTTTTGGGGCGCAAGTCTGTGATAGATGCTGCTGTACTGCTGCCCTGACTTCCGTGTCCTATCTCTCGTGTTCTGTGCCTCTTGCCTCCACAACCCAATCTTCTCTCTCAAATGTCGACGGCAGGTCCGTGCCGTGTGGAAAAAAGCGTCGTTTGGGACTGCCTCCGCGGGGATCGCTTCACTTCCGAAACATCAGACCGCTCGACGTCGACCGATTCTGGGACACCAGCGGCGCTCCACGCTGCACGCCCGCGGCGGGGTCGCTGCCGGTCGACACGACGCAAGCCTACCGTACTCGAAGGCCGTGACTCCATTGGTGAAGGGGTCCCAGGACACACAAATAAATACACACAAATAAAAGGGATCCCCCATATTTTCCCATATTTTCTGGGTTTCTGTCTTCCCCCCCACTTCCCATATTTTCCCATATTTTCGGGGGATTCGAGGATTAATTGTGTCTGTGTGTTTCTTTTCCTCCTGACATTTGGCCGATTCCAGAAACCCTGAACCCAAAAGTTTGTCATCTCTTGGGAGGCCGACTTTTGCTCCCGCCGGCTCACGCCAGGCTTCCGCCGGCGAGGGCGGCCTCGTGCTGCTTCGGCCGCCTTCCACCGCCCTTCCGCGCGGCCTTGCCGCCGCAGGAGAGATGCCACCTCCTCCGACCCTCGAAGTCGAGGCCCTTTTTCTGGAACGCTCCATTTGAAATTCCCAAGGGGGATCCGTCAGCATCCTGGCCGCTCGGGGCTGACCTTGGGTCGGGCATGTCCTCCTACGGGTCCTGCAGGCGGATGTTGAAAGAAGAATTGAAAGCTCCTCAGGAGCATTCGAAAGCAGTCGAACAATCATCTCCAGGCTATTCTTTGATCACTTCTGCATGCTCCTCCGGATTCCCACGGGGGACGGCCACCGCACGGCCTCAGGGGCGCCCAGGGCAGGCCTCGATGACAGGGCTCCGAGAGGCGCCGAAAGGGGGGGCCTCGAGGGCCCCGTGCGGCCATCAGTATCCCATCGTATCTCAAAGATGGCCAGGGATCGGCGGCGAGCGAGGCGGGGAAGCGAGGGGAATAACGCCTTCTCAGAAGGCGTCGGGGCTTCTCAGAAGCCCCCGCGCCTGCTGAACAGTCGAGTCTGTTTGCCTCCGGGGGGGGAAGCTCAGGCAACTTCTCAGAAGGCCGGGTGGCCTTCCGAGCCTTCTGAGAAGGCCTTCGCCTTCTCACTTCCCCACGGGCTCGCCGCCGGAAGATGGCCAAAGAGAGCACGCAGACGCCCCCGAGCGGGCAACGAGCAGTGAGCAAGCCATCCTGTCTGCCGTTGTTCTTTCCTGCTCCACGCGTGACTCCCGACATGTCCCAGTATCGCTTCAAGGTGGCCCCCAGAAGGCAGCATCAAAAGGCCACAAGGGTACAACCAAATCGCCCAACATGGCCCGAACAGGCCACAATATTGCTTCAGGACGGCCCCCAGGGCCCCCGAGATCGCTTCAGGACGGCCCCCAGAGCCCCCGAGATTGCCGAAGACGGCCCAAAAATGGCCTCGAAGGGTCCCAGGATGACCAAACCAGGCCCCAAGAAAGCACAGACCTGCCCTCGAGCCAGCTCCGAGACCCCAAGATACCCCCGAGAGGCCCCAAGAAGACCTCAAGCCTGGTCCAACACAGCCACGAGGTGGCTCAGCAGCGGGGGGGGGCGTGCGGCAGATAGCGCAGCCCTTCAGATACTCGCTGCACCCAGTGATACTTGTTCGCGTGAAAGAGACGGTCGGTGTGCCAGTCGTGGTCGCCATCGTCGTAGAGTACGGCGTGGTGGTTATGGTTGAGGTGAACGTGACAGTTGCCGAGCACTTGCGCGGACAATGCTCCTGAACACCTGCCACGTGGCAGTCTGCCATGGCACACCAAAACATGTCTTCGTGACTACACGATGACCACCGTACTCCCCCGAGCCAACGGGACCCTCTTGCGGTTGGGCAAGGAGCCGAAGCGGCGGGCGTAGGGATCCCAAGGATGGCGGACGCGCATGTGCATTGGCAGGACGCGCGAACCCACTCTACTTGGCAATCCGCCCCTGCACACCAGCCGTCCTCTCGGGAGCCCACAAAAATTATCCCGGCAAAGCAACCTAACAGCGATGTGTAGAAGCATATATGGAAGCATTCCCCTTAAGATTCAGATGAGAATCCAGTTGTAGAGTTCTGCTGTTCTCGCAGTCGCAGTCGCATTCGCGATGACAGTCGCAGTGGCAGCGGCAGTCGCAGTCACAGCCTCAGCCTCAGCCTGCCTCAGCCTCAGCCTGCCTCAGCCTCAGCCTGCCTCAGCCTCAGCCTCAGCCTGCTTCAGCCTCAGCCTCAGTCTGCCTTCAGCCTCAGCCTCTGTGCCTCAGCCTGCCTCAGCCTCAGCCTGCCTCAGTATCAGCCTGCCTCAGCCTCAGCCTCAGCCTGCCTCAGCCTCAGCCTCAGCCTGCTTCAGCCTCAGCCTCAGTCTGCCTTCAGCCTCGGCCTCAGCCTCAGCCTGCCTCAGCCTCAGCCTGCATCAGCCTCAGCCTCAGCCTCAGCCTGCCTCAGCCTCAGCCTGCCTCAGCCTCAGCCTCAGCCTGCCTCAGCCTCAGCCTCAGCCTCACCCTCAGCCTCAGCCTCAGCCTGCCTCAGCCTCAGCCTGCCTCAGCCTCAGCCTCAGCCTGCCTCAGCATCAGCCTGCCTCAGTCTCAGCCTCAGCCTGCCTCAGCCTCAGCCTGCTTCAGCCTCAGCCTCAGTCTGCCTTCAGCCTCAGCCTCTGTGCCTCAGCCTGCCTCAGCATCAGCCTGCATCCGCCTCAGCCTCAGCCTCAGCCTCAGCCTGCCTCAGCATCAGCCTGCCTCAGCGTCTGCCTCAGCCTGCCTCAGCCTCAGTCTGCCTTCAGCCTCAGCCTCAGCCTCAGCCTGCCTCAGCTCATCAGCCTCAGCCTCAGCCTCAGCCTCAGCCTCAGCCTGCCTCAGCCTCAGCCTGCCTCAGCGTCTGCCTCAGCCTGCCTTCAGCCTCGGCCTCAGCCTCAGCCTGCCTCAGCCTCATCAGCCTCAGCCTGCCTGCCTCAGCCTCAGCCTCAGCATCAACATCAACATCACCATTCTCAGCCTCTGCGTCAGCATCAAAATGTGGCCCGGGAGTGGAGTTCTGGGCACTCGAAGAGCACGAAATGGCCTACAGTTGGCTCCGGGCATTCAAAATGTGGCCCGGGAATGGAGTTCTGGGCACTCGAAGAGCACGAAGTGGCCTACAGTTGGCTCCGGGCATTCAAAATGTGGCCCGGGAATGGAGTTCTGGGCACTCGAAGAGCACGAAGTGGCCTACAGTTGGCTCCGGGCATTCAAAATGTGGCCCGGGAATGGAGTTCTGGGAACTCGAAGAGCACGAAGTGGCCTACAGTTGGCTCCGGGCATTCAAAATGTGGCCCGGGAATGGAGTTCTGGGGACTCGAAGAGCACGAAGTGGCCTACAGTTGGCTCCGGGCATTCAGAATGTGGCCCGGGAGTGGAGTTCTGGGAGGTCGAAGAGCACGAAGTGTGTGACTGTTTGCGAAAAACGAGTTCGGACACGAGTTCGGACACAGCTCCCCGGATGCCGCCCAGACCCCCCTGTGGAGTCATCTGCTGCTCTTTTTTGACACCACTAGAAACCTATCAGTCTTCGCTGTTGGGTAAAAACACGGATAAACAGCAAGAGGAGGACAATGCTGCTTACAATTCCCGAAGGCCTCCAAGCAACCCGCCCGCCCTGCCAGTGACGGAGAGATGAGTGGAGGGATGGGGGTAAAGCACTATCGGGTGGGTCGGGGGGATGCCTGCGCGGGCTGAAAAGACAAGGACAGTTATAATGCAAAGAGAATGAAGTTCAGATGAATGGGCCTTCCTTCAAAAAAATAACCAGGGACCTGCCAACGGTACACGGGTGCCCGCTGGTGCCCTCCCCGCCCTTGGGCTCCAGAAGGCACTCTTGTACAAGCGTGCGCCACCTCTCGGCTCAGATGGGTCCAGCCATGGAGCCCAGAGTGATATTCCCCGACCCGGCGCCAGCTACATTGAAGCAGTGTGATCGTGCCGCAGCGGCGGCCCCTGTTGGCAGATCAGCATGGTGCTCTGATCTACATCGGAATGGCCGCAAGGCGGCGAGAACAAAAGAGCATAACGTCACAGCTATAGGTATTCAACACCCCCCTAGCAATGGGAAATTAATTCCCATCTGCGCGGGCTTATCGACGGGTGGGGACCCAAACAATACTGGGAAAAATATGATTTCCGGGCGGCGGCAACCGCAGAAGATCGGGGGGCATGCGGATGCCTGATGGTGAAGCTGATGATGATGATGATGATGATGATGATGATGATGATGATGATCATGATGATGATGATGAGGAGGAGGAGAAGGAGGAAAATGAGGATGGGAGACCAAAACTCTGGACAACTTCCTGGAGTCTCCGTTGTCCGTTCCAGGTCATGTCTTGGCGGTCCTGGGGCCCAGCGAGAGCCACAGAGCCGAAGACGGCCGAAGACCTTCCGTCGTGATTCCTGACTCCCTGGCAGCGTTCCGCTACAGGGCCCTGAACATTGGTAAGCGATGGCCAGCGTACGCCCCCAACAGAAAGCTGGATGTGTGAGCGATGTGATGCAGTCTACGCGTTGAGAGCTGTGTGGTGCAGGCTGGGTGTGCAACCCCGACGGGCCCCCTGAGCGCGGTGGGCAGCGAGGCGGCGGCAACCCCCCCAAGTGGGCGGCAACGAGGCGGCCACGGGCGGCGACGCGGCGCAGTCTCGATGGCCTGCGGGCCAGCTGCGCGACGCTGTCGCCCCAGCGGCAACGGGCTGCAACGGGCCCCGAACGTGCCGAATCCTTGACGCTGCCACCCATGCGGCAAAGGGGGGGGCAACGGGAGACAACGGGCTAGGGGGCCACATGCGAACCCTACCCCTGCACCCCACGACTTCTGAGGGGGACGGTGGGGTTCACTTCGCTCGAGAGCTCCCGAACGAAGTGAACCCCACCCTCTCCCTCAGAAGTCGTGGGGGGCAGGGGTGGGGTTCGCATGTGGCCCCCTACGGGCTGGAACGTGGCGAATCCTTGACGCTGCCACCCAAGCGGCAACGGGTCAAGAACCCCAGTCCAAATCACCTCCCGGTGACAAAAAGGACTACATACAGGAGAGCCCCACAACGTGGGGCACGGGGATGGGCAGGACGTTTTTGTTGGGGGCCGGCGCCCGCTTCGCCCGAGACTCCCTCACACATTGTTCAGGAATCGGGTGATTTCTCCAGACGTCTACACGTCGTTCATGTCTATTCGCGCTCATTTCTAATTGTGCTCGTTTCTGATTGTTCCTGGCCCCCCTGGTGGCCAGGAATAGGCCCAGGATAGGACAATCAGAGATGAGAGGATCTTGGCCCCCCCCAAAATCAAACAGTCGAACAATTAGAAGCGAACAGTGTGTGTGGGCGTAAAAATTAGAACCAGGGGTTTTCGCTAATCTTTGTTTTTTTTTTGCCACTTTTCCGTGAAGCAGGAAGTCCCAGGCCGAACGGCCACAAGAGGTCATGTGTGTCTCTGGGATCAGGAATGTTCTCTCGTCGCAACGCTGGTCACATGTTTGGTCCAGACGGCCACGATCCCTTGAAAATTGTTCGGCGCGGAAGCTCCCACGTGTGCATCTCAGTTATTGGCGCTTCCGTCTGTGCGTGTCTGGGTGAAAGAATATTAGCCCCAGGTCGGGCCTGTCCCCCGACAGAGGAAATTCAGACGTAATACATAATCAAAACATATTCAGAAAATATAAAAACAACAGAAAAAACAAAAATCGCCCCTTGATTAGTTCGTTTTGCTATTTTTGAAGGTTCCTCCTGTAGAGGGACAGGCCCGACTTAATCATAGCCTGTGGCGTCTCAGCGATCCCTGGCTGCTCACCCACGGGAGTGCCGTACCTGCTGCAATGGGGTGCTCATGCGGCCCTGAAAGGCGAGGGGTGGGTGGGGCCTAAACTTAAGTCGGGCCTATCCTCCTACAGGGGCATGTTGGACGACAAATGAAAAGTAGTAAAGCAAAAAAGTGCGTCCCCTGACTATTTGTTTGACGCTTTCTGAAAATTCCCCGTAGAGGGGCAGGCCCGACTTAAGCCTAAACCAGCGTGCGCGTCTGACTCGCTCGATGCATCCTCGCGATCTGCCTTGCAAACAGGCAAGTCGCAACCACGAGACGAGCAAGCCGCCCGGGACATTCCATCAATCTGACCTCGAACGGGCGAGTTTAAAACATCCCAATACCCCCCACCCATGTGGTGCTGCCGAAACATGCGCCTGGCCCAGGCCATCCTCACGACGGGCTCTGAAAGCAGGGAGTTCGACCTGCGAAGCGAGCAAACCACCCGACAAATCCCCACCATCTGTGCAACACCCCAAGCGGCCCACCCTTGTGGTGCTGAAACCAACTCCTCGCTCGAGGCATCCTAACAGTCTACCCTGAAAGCAAAAGAAACACCGGCCACGAACCAAGCACACCGCCCGAGGCATTCCCACGATCTGGCCGCGAACGGGGGAGCACAACGCCACCTGGCGGCTCCCTCTTGGGGTGCTGAGACCAGCCCCTCGCCCGAGACATCCTCACGATCTGCTCCGACACCCCAGAGGCCCAGGCCCCAGAACAGGCGAACCGCCCGAGGTATCCTCGGAGGTCGGGCCGCGAACGGGCCCGCGCAGCACTCCCCAGCGCTCCCCCCGCCCTGGGGTACTGAAACCAGCGCCTCGCTCGAGGCATCCTCACGATCTGCTCGGACACCACAGAAGTCCAAGCCACCAAGCAGGCACACCGCATGAGACATCCCCGCAGTCTTGCCGCCAAAGGGCCCGTACAACACCGCCCTGGCGCCCCCCCCTCAGGGTGCTGAAGCCGTCACCTCGCTCGAGGCATCCTCACAATCCGCTCTGAAAGCGAAGGAGCACGAGCCACGAACCATGCACATCGCATGAGATCCCCACAATATGGGCGCGAAGGGGCCCTTTGCAGCAATCCCTGGGGGCTCCCCCCTGGGGGCGCTGAGACCAATTCCTCGTTCGACACACCTTCATA